AATAATACGACAATACTATTTGCGAACTTTTCTTTGGCTAACAGTCTAATGATTCACGTCCGCGAGGAGAATCAAATCTACTAAAACTTTCTAGCATGATCGTAACAGCAAATAGTAATTATGTGGCAATTTAACCTCATAAATATGTTTTATTATTATTATACAGTATTATAACTGTATATTATTACACAGTTTTTACTCCTGAGGAGTGGTGAGTTAAGTGCAGTATCTACCGAGCTGCGACTCATGATCGGTCATTCAATTGCTAATGATTTGTTGCAGGAAAATCTTATCACTGGACGCGATCGCACTGGAGCCGCACTCTCCGTGAGCGCATCAATACTTTCATTGCCGTGAATCATTCAGCCAATCACTGTCCAATTTTCAAACTAAACTGCCCAGTGATGAATCTCATCAGCGGACAAAACCCATCAGCACCTTATTCTTCGTCAGGCTGTGGAGACAGAAGACCGCATCAGTCATCATTAGCAGGGCTTCCGGAATTTTTTAGATGTATACCCTAATGAGTTGAGAAGCTGCAACGTGACTGAGAGTGAGAGTTAATAAAACGTTAGGCCCTGTACTTGCGAATGTCCACGCTTAAGTTCACGTTTCTGTTCGACTAGTACGAACTACTTATAACAATTGTGTTTAGTTTCATATTCAAGAATTAATTAAATCCCGTAGACGTTTTTTCAAAACCGAATGAAATCTAACACTGATTTAAAACATTTTTTTCCAGTATATGTTGAACATTCGGTATGAATATCTCAAATCTCGCATTCAGCATGAATATCTCAAATCTTACGCAATTCTGACAAACGGACCGCCTTATCTTTATGTAGCTCAATTTTTTCCGTACTGTTCATGTGCAAAGAGCGTAAATCTAAAAAAAAATATTATTTCGTGGTGACGAGCACTGATGGTTTTAAATTTGAAAGTAGTTTGGAGTGACTTTCTCACGTCACAATTTATGCCACGATAATTAAATACTATGAAAATCGCATAAATTTGTGTATAAAAGACACAATAGAAACCTATTAACAGAAAGGTCCTATGAAAATTTTTCGATCACCGTAATGCGCTGCTATGACATAAACTGAACGCACAGTTAAATCAAGAGAATAAGTTCAACTATATAATCTATAAAAAAGTGTAGAATTCAAATTAAAAAAACTTTGACTGTCGTCGATGTGAGAGATTTTACGCCAAGTGTTATCTAATGCGACATGTGGAACCATGTGTGGAACAGCCTCCCTGATAGCATCGTTGACGCTCCAAGTAAGAACCCCCTTCAAGAACAGACTAGACGAAGCTGCAGGAGCATATGTTCAGTCTTAAAATGCCCAGCAACTTACGGACCAGGCAATAAGTCCAGCAGCTATCTCAATCAATCGTCAGTTATGGAAAGATCGGGTTCCAAAGGCCGGATCCCTTGTGAATCAAGTCACGAAAAGTACAAGAAGAAAGTTTCGTGCAGTCACGAAATCAAGAAGTAGGCCATGGGCCTACTTCTTCAATGCCAACACTTCTATTCAATTCTACTATGCGTTCATCTTGCAAACCACATGTTAGCATAAGTGACGTTTTTCAAAAAAAGTGTTGCAAGGGAAAGCACAAACCCCCGACCATTCAGCCTTCAGATCATATTATTTTTCTTAACTTTCCTAACAGAGCAGGAATTAATAGTGAAATAAATTTTGAGGTAAGCAGCGTTGGGCATCAGTTCAAGAGAAACGTTTCTGTTCAAATGATATAAATCATGATAAAAGAAGTGCATGATACTTACGCTAATAAGATATTATATTGGTTAGGTATTCCTTGAATTTTGAAAAAAAACATGTAGAAATTTCCATTGAACTTCATATGTTCCTTAGATATGTAGATTCAGATTCTGTATCGACAGGTTGATATTTTAGTTCTTACATTCTTAGGCAATGTATGGGAACATTCATTGCTGAAATACCACAACATTCTACAAATTTTTTAATATAAAGCCCTCAACAACAATTTAATCAGTAAAAAATACCAAGACTGAGGAAATTAACCTTAGAAACTGCCAAAATTATAAACGAATATACAACTTAACGAACGAACTTAAAATTAACTATTCACATTTCCATAGTTTTACTGAAACAATAATATTTTTTACTGGAAAAATGTAGTTGGCAAACCTGTGTTTTGCGGCGTTTGTCCACCAAAATAGCGGGACGGCTTTAGTTCAAGGCTGTTAGGAATGTTGGACGGTGAACACTTGAAAGTGTTCAATAGTGGCTATTGAGCAATGAGCACTATTGAACACTTTCAAATAGTTTTTTAATTTGAGACTTTGAGTGACGCTTGGGTTGGGAGTGACTCACGCACCTGTGCTGTGTCCGTGTGTCGTCTTCCTTTTCAGTTAACAATATGATAACACGATTTGTCGACGTATTGAATTATCTATGGTAGGTAGTTTTAATCTTCACAACTAACTAGTCATTCAGGAATAAAAGTGCACACTGTCAACTTGTCGAGTCTGTCTTCTATGAATTTATGAGATTGATGCAAATGCAATATTATTAATTTCAGACTTGCAGTGACACATGAAGACTTGATGAGGTGACATAACTCACAATCTCACATGAGTTAACTGATGCCATTCAAAGTTTGGCAACAGTTATCATCAGTCCTAGAGCAGCTAAGAGCCTGAATAGCCTGATGGAAAATTAGATAGCTAGAAGTCATTTGTTAGGTATGTATGGTAAAATTCATAGTGGCAAAGCAGAGAGCTCTTTAGACGTTCCCAGTTCCCTCAGCCTCAAGTTCATTTTTGAGTCCTATAAGTAGACCGGTAAAGTACCTATCATGGATATACCAGCACCATCGGCATCATACATAAGAAATCGGTTTAAATCTTGGGTAAATGAGAAAATTAAAAATGAACTGATTCTAAGAAATAGGGTAGACGCGGTATATTCCGACACATTAAGGACGCATCAAGAAATGAAAAACTAAAAAAAAAAAACGTATGCGTTACGTAAGTTCTGTTGCCTTCACATGACTCTCAAAACACTTCACTACGCGTCAGCAATGATGAAATGTCACAAAATGTTGCCATATTTATTAAAAAGCCTTTAGAATGGAAACCTACCATGCTACCAAATCCCTATATTCCGTCACTTTGTGTGGCAACATCCGACACGTGGTGAGTCGTATTGTGTCAGCGCTTCAAATTTAGCTGATACGTATTGCCGACATCCACGTGGTCGAATTCCGTTTACTGTGTGAGCTGTATTGGGATACAACACGGCTTTGAATTAGAACACTAACGCATATTGAACACTACTTAATTACGTTTTAATTAACAGCTATTAGGCTTTTAATTAAGCAAATTTCAATTTTTGTACAAAGCTTTGAACGATCTGTGTGTGTCCAATTCAAGTTGTGTCAGAATTAGTTTTCATGTGTCGTCAGTGTCGAAATCCAACATCTCAACTTAATCATCTATTAATTTATTTACGACTTGAAATCAGCAAATACAAGTTTACTTAAAGGATTCCTAATATATTCACAGACATATTTAAAAGTCTCAAACCATAATATTCTTCTTATAAAAACAGTTATTCACTATTTGGTAGAGCAAGGTCAACTGTCAAATTTGACACATTTTTCGATGATCTCACCAGGTGGCATGCATTGTCTCTCTTTGGATCTCAATATTTTCCCACTAGATGGCCAAGACCTAGTGTTTTTGCAGCATTTCAACACGCAAATGTATGACATCACCATTTCAACCATGAATGAACGCATGGAACTAAAACAAAGCTTAATATAAAGGAAAAACTAGAGAAGTGATGGAATTACCTACGATGTCGGAATATACCGCGTTTACCCTATCTGGTTTGTCACTGTATGTGTATCAGTGTATACTGTATGGTATTAGGCTGATGTGATATTAACGCAGGGGCCAGTGGGCAGTGGCCAGGGCCCTGGGGAGGCTGGGCCCAGACTGTAAAGTGTAGAGTAGAGGCACATTTAATGTGCATTGTGCCATGCTCTACAGTTTACAGTTTGGGCCCACTACAGACTAGTACAGTCAGTACACTACAGTCTTTACAGATTTCTGGACAAGCTTAACTGCATCCTGATCCATCCAACATACCGGAAACCTTACTTTTTTTCTAAATAGTTGGCCGAAGACTGGCAAATATATTAAATGCAAGAATTACAATCTAAATATGTCAGCAAGATCTACTGAAGGTGTAAATTTTGCTACTGAAGCGTCGCCAAAGATCTTGCAATATTCATCAACTCTCTGCACAGTGGTATCCATACAGGTCTGAAAAAGTCCTATTTTTTTCTGAAATGTTGTGGCTCTAATATCATATAATTTCAGTAGGAATGAAATCTTGCAGCCCTAATGTCATGTATTTTTGTTTGATTGAAAAAATTGACTCCAGCTATCTATTTTCTGACTACCGGATTTGTCTGAACTTCTGAAAGAATTTTCTGAGTAATTTTTGGTCCAAAATTTTACTGTTGTATCCTATTTACTTATATTATGTACTTATTTCCACCAAAATTTCAATGTTTAATGCTTCTTCTAACTTGAAAGTGAATGTTTGTTGCATTCAAAACGTTAATAAATAAGAATTACTTCCTGAAACTTGCCTTTTAATCTATCGTCATCTGAAGAAATGTTCCACTCACTGAAAATATTAATCAACAAATTCTTTGGTCATCGATCGCATGTATGTAAACATATATATAAATATAAAATATATTTAAAACTATAAAAAATCAGTAAATATACAAAAAAAAAAAAAACAGTAAATTGATACCCATTGCCATATTGACCAAATGAATTTACTAGTGAATGGTCTAAACAATAGTGTATTTTTTTTTTGTAAATGAGAAAATGCACTAAAAAAATTAATGGTTTTCATATCTTGCAATAGAAAAAATGCAATTCACTAATATAAAATGCAATAAATGTAATAATCCATTTTCTCCATTGAATTCTTTTATTGTCATATGAAGCAGGGTGCAATCTTCAATTTGAGTTTAAATTAATCTCAGCATAGTTCAATAATTATTGACTCATCATGACGCTGGCATATCCTAACCAGAATAACCAGCGTGCTAGGCCTGCCCCAACCTCTGCTCAAATCCAGAAGGTGAGTGAAGTTTTCCTTGAATATATATGCTCGTAATAGAAATTATATTGGAAATACCTATATATGTGTAGGTGCCTTGTTTTTTAAGTTATTGGAAGTACTTGAGTTATTTTAATTGAATGATCTGAAATCTATGCTTGCATTGCCGCACCCTTGATTTGTTTTTGTTTCTTGATATTTGTAAGTTATTCCTCCATTGTATTCAGTTATTCATCCAGTGTCAAGCATTTGAATACATGTAGCTGTTATGCTCATGGTAACTTGAACTTGATTGAGTGTGAGTAGCATGGGAGTCTATAATTCTTTGAGTCCAGTTTCAAACTTGCAATGTTTAAAGTAGGAAACGTGCTAGCTCTTGTTAGCAAAATTCTCCCAGTGGAAACTTGCATGTACTTGATGACCTGAATTGTGTCCCTAACATTCTTGGTATTGAAGAATTTTGACATGTCCATTGATTGAGACCAGAGGAAGCTATAAACTTGAGTACAACAGTGAGCTATCAGTTTAATTTTTAAAACTCACAAAGGGACTTGCAACATTAGTCAACTGACGCATATATTTACTTGTTTCGTCAATTACTTTACTTGATAATTACCTCTTTCTTAGTCTGAAAAATGTCCTCCAGATGCTGGATGAGAACTACCAGCTCATCAAGACCATCTCTGAGTTCCAGAGCCAAGGAAATGCTCATGAATGTTATCAGTAAGTGACAAAAAGAGAGCTTCAGTGAACTTTTGGGGTAAAATTTAATTACTGGAGTAAATTTATCACTTAATTACTTTAACAAAAATGTAGATATATGTATAGATCTTATATTTTTGAATTAACTTATATTGTGGACTGGTGTTAATTTGTATAAAAATTGGCTATCTGAGTTATTAGGGAAAAATCTCTAGCTTTATAATCTTCATTAATCATTAATGATTTTCCTCAATCATTCAATTGTTGAATATGGTACATATCAATTTTGATCAAGTAACCACCACAACAAGGTAGACATCATCTTGAGGCCTATTCACTCTTACCCTTCTGACAGAATAATTATTTCATGTACTAGTTGAGTCTTGGACCCTATTGTTCTCCTGAAAAGATTAGGTATTTATTCCAGGTAGCAATTGATCCTCTGCCTCTGTTATCCTTTTGACAACTTGATTTATTTCAGGTACCAGTTGAGCCTTCACCACAACTTGACGTACCTGGCATCATTTGCTGACACCAGTCAGAACATGGCTCAGCTCCTGCCTGTGAGTGATTTCCATATATAATAATTAGTATCAATTATTATCAAAATAAAATCTAAAAATAAATTTTAAAGACTATAAGAAAATTAAGAATGACTGTCCTATTGATAGTAGACCTTGTATATACAAAACTGAAGGCCAAACAAAATGATACTTCAATTCTAAAGGGTCTGATAGGGAAAAATTGGGTTCAGGTGTCATTTGCAACTGGAAGCATTTCATTATTTACTGAAACATATTTTGTTTGAAATCACTTGTCATTAAATGCAAAAAATTTCATTGTATTCATCTGTGAAGATCAGGCAACTAATGCTACTATCTGAAGACAAAAGACAAATACCTCTAATCTCCTGCAAAATCAGCTTATTTAGTAAAGGGTCGTATGCTGCTTGCATCTATTGAATAATTCTCAGAATAGTCACAGGCTGCACACAACGCACCTCCATCAAACACCGTCATGCTGAAACAAAAATACTACCCATAAAAGCACACCTCGACATCAGAGGAAAACAGTTCCTAGCTGCAGTCATAAACAACGCAGAACACCCATGCTACTACCTGCGCAACCACCGACGTACACACAGACAAATAATGATAACCCCACACAGATACTACACCAACATACTAAACAAAGTACCCCCACCCCAAGGCAACACCAGCACAAAAAACACTTGCACACAACTACGACGGAGAATGCTAGTGCTGGTCGGCAACAACAAAGTCTTTGGACACCCACCACCTAACAGAGAATCTAGGCACAGAAACCCAGCTCTCAAGACTGGAGAGAGTACACATAGCCATGCTATGCTGTAGCCACCACCCTTCACTATGACCTTATGACGAGTTCGGGACTTCCTAGTCCCTGGTCACGCTGATGCGCTGCCTTCATCATCCTCCATCTCCCAGTCATCGCTAGGCAGGTCACACCGCCCTCTGGTCCTGGATGTAACGTTGGACGTGTTCTGTCTATTTGCCTTCTTTTGGGCCGGCTGGTGCAAGATGCTGTTGCTTGTCACTTGCTGAGGGTAGTTTCCCATTACTGGACAATCCAGGCTCTTTCTCAACCAGTTGTCCAGTCGTCTCTTGAAAGTTGCAAGGGTGAATTACCCTCCTCTCGGCGCTTTTTGCAGGACATTAAAGAGCCTCGGTCCTACAACGGACAATGATATCTCACGGAGAGTCTGTACTTTGGCCGCGGCTCGGTTATTAAATGGGGGAACCCTGCAGTCTCCCCCTCCTTTCATTGTGACGTGTCACTATTCTGGAGGTCTCACTCTCAAAGTTGGGAGCCAGTCCAGTTATCATCTTCCAAGTGTACAGTATGATAGGTATACCTTTCTCTTCTCCTCTCCATTGAGTACAGTCCCAGGTATTTCAGCCTTTCCCAGTAGTTCAGTTCAGCTCCCTCATGCCACTAATCCTGTATGTGAAGCCCGCTGCACTGCCTCTAATTTCCGCACCGCACCCGCCTTGAGTGGCGACCAAAGTTGGCAGCAATACTCAAGTTTGGGGAGCTCAAGGGCTCTGAAGAGTGTAATCATTAGTGCTGCTTCTCTCGTTCGAAATGTCCGCCATATCCACCCCATCCGTTGTTGGCTGCGCCCGACTATTTCCCCAATATGGGCATCAAATGTGGCTTTAGTACTCATCAACACTCCAAGATCTCGAACTAGTTGCTTCTCCTCAATTTTTGTGCCATCTGATGCAAAGTAGCAATGTGGCATCCCGATCTCTGTGCGGACTCTGTATCTCATTACTTTGAACTTGGTGCCGTTGAACTGCATATTGTTCACTAGGGCCCAATTGGTAGATTGACGATAGATCATCCTGCAACCTCTCGCAGTCTAGGTCAACAAACATACACAAACAGAATTGGTCAAGCAGACTCAGACACCTGTCCATCCTGCCAGGGAGCTCCCCCCACAAGCACACACATTCTCCTGGAATGTCCGCTCTGGCAGTATCTCAGACAACACCACCACATAAAAGGGAGACGAGGGAATCACAAAAACAACAACAACTGAATAATTTGAATGGCATAATACTGATATGTTTGCTAAAAAAATTCTCAATGGGTGGGCCCAATTTAAACTGTCCGCAGATTGTTACATTTATAGTTCAGGGGCCATACTTTCAAAACTCGCTAAGTGAACGTAAGTACTTCAGCTCTATTTTCTTGTCTATGATTGGTGGATTTTGCATGAAAGGCCGTCAATGATTGGCTGATGAACTTGCGATCTCTTACCTCTTATTGAAAGTATAGACCCTGTGAATCATTGCACATCTGATTATTGGCCCAACATTAATTAAAGAAAAATGGGTCATGTTCAGGGAGACCGATAGATGTATATGATTCCAGTTTATTTGTCATCTGATCTCATAGACAACAACTAAAGAGTAGGTATCTATTCAAAACAAGATACGAGCGGCAGCTCTCAAAGCAATGAGCACCTAATCAGCCCCTTTGTGTCCAATAGTGGCTTTTACTTCTACCAAATTCATTACAGCCACCAACACCTGTGGGTCAAAGCAACAGTGTGAGCGGAGGTGGAGGTGGTGGAGGCAGTGATGGACCTTCCAGTGGGCCTGTGAACCAGGGAGGTCCTCCCGGGAGCCAGCCGGGTGCTCATCCTTCTTCTGTTGCTCCAACATACTCGTCTCAGCAGTCAGGCTACCGTCCACCTGGCCCCCCTAGCATGGGACCTGGCCCACCCAGTATGGGGCCTGGTCCTCCCAACATGGGCCCAGGCCCACCTCCTCCAGGAGGTCCTCCTGGTGCTGGCTTCCGAATGCCATATGGACAGCACGGACAAGGCTCTCCTTACTCTCCTCAGCCTTATCCTCCACATCAGGTAGTTGAAAACTTGCTCTTCACCGGGTGTAATGCAGGATATGTTCATCAGACCTCGCCTCAATAGAGGATTAAGTTGTCAGACCTTCCCTGAATAGAGGATTAAGTTGTCAGACCTCCCCTGAATAGAGGATTAAGTTGTCAGTCCTCCCCTGAATAGAGGATTAAGTTGTCAGTCCTCCCAACCTCCCCTGAATAGAGGATTAAGTTGTCAGACCTCCCCTGAATAGAGGATTAAGTTGTCAGACCTCCCCTGAATAGAGGATTAAGTTGTCAGACCTCCCCTGAATAGAGGATTAAGTTGTCAGTCCTCCCCTGAATAGAGGATTAAGTTGTCAGACCTCGCCTCAATAGAGGACTAGGTTGTCAGACCTCGCCTCAATAGAGAATGAAGTTATTAGACCTAACCAATTTATTCAAGCTGCTTTCATAATTATTTCAGCTGGGCTGACTTAGTACTCTGTATTGTAATTTTCTCTCAGCATTGCATTGACTCTCATAGCTGATTTTACATGTTCCGGCATCTCAATTTGTTTCATAATTTTTGTGGGCAGGCATTATTTTGTTCAGAAATGTTAATTTACTCTGAATTCAATGTACTTAACCTACTAGCCATAATAACGCAATTTGATGGGTTTGACAAGAACGGCACTTAATGGCAGGTTACTCAAATTTATATAAAATGATAATTTTTCAGTTATTATTCCACATAATAATTGTATTTTATGTATCTTATATCATTTGTCAATTTATGGTTAACACCAATGCGAGGCAGTTAAAGTGGACCGTTGCAGTAGTGAGTCTCTTTTACCTCTACCTGTTGGTGATCGTGCAGTCAAAATTTATGCTTATAATAAGTTTTATAAAGTCCTAAAAGTATTCTCGTGTGCAGTATGGAGGTCAAGGTGGCTACCCCAGCTCGGGCGGGCCGCCCTCTGCTGGCCCTCAGAGCGCCAAGGGATATGGAACTCCACCTCCGCCCTCCACCTCCACTCCGTCCTCGTACTCATCATATCCTCCTCAACCCAACCAAGGACCTCACTCCTCGCAGGCTCCTCACCCATCCCAGTCCCCACATTCAGCAATGCCTCACTCCTCCCTTCCTCACGGTCCCCAGCAGAGCTCTCAAGCTCCTCCTTCGTCGCAATCAGGTCCTCCATATGGTCAGCAAATGTCAGCCGCTTCGCCTGGTGACTATAACAGTCAGCAACCGTCAGCCTCTGCTAACACCACTGGTCCAACAGCTGGCAACCACCAGCCTTCCAGCTCGTCCCCCTTTAGCAGCAGTGGCTACCCTCCTTCCTCGCAGCCATATTCTCTGCCGTCGGGGCAGCCTTACCCTCCTCCAGGGCAGCCTTATCCTCCCATGTCAGCTTCAGCTCCCTCTGGTGGCCCTCCATCATCCTCCCAGCCAACTCCTCCTCCTGCTTCTGTTAACTCTTCATCCTCGTCATCCACTCCTTCCCCCGCTCCTCCTACTGCTCCTCCAGGCCAGTACTCGTCTCAGCCTCGGCCTTCTTCAGCCTCCCCAGCTCCCCAAGCTGCATCGCGCTCCTCATCCACTCCTCCTTCTCAAGGGTACACTGGCACTCCTCCGCCAACGGCGCCCACTCCTCCCACTTCCCATGCCCCTTCTGTGGCTGCTCCACCACAGCACTTCTCATCCGCCGCCCCTCCCTCCAACTCCCCCTACCACCACCAGTACCCGCCCTCCTCCCAGTACCCGCCCGCATCGCAGTATCCCCCACCACCGGGGCAGTACCCTCCACAGCCGCCCTACTCGCAGCCATACGGATCGTACCCGCCGCCTCCTGGGCACCCCGCTTACCCGCCGATGCCTAACAGCCAGGGTGGCTACCAGGGCCACAGCAGCGGGTATGGCCAATACCCCCCACCGCCCCCCGCCTCCCAGTACGTACAGTACAGGGCGCCTACTGGCCAGCCTCAGTATACTGGCTATGACCAGGGACGCTATCCTGGCTACCAGGGCTCTGGGCCGCCTGGACCGCCCCCTGGCTCCCATTAGTGTACTGAGTTGCCACTTGAGATTGCCGACTCTCATTTGTTTATTATGGACCTTTAACTTGGCATCTTGACACTCACTAGTGTGCTGGGCAGCTTCCTACACTCCGTAGCAAATAAGCATAATATTCTACTTTACATTACCTACTGATTCTCACGCAAGCTTTTCCCAATTAGGTTACAACAATCGGATAGTGGAATTAAATAAGACGATTATATTCCAATTGTTCATGCGCAGCCAATGGATGTAGCCTCATGCTTGCATCTATGATACATAATTAGCTTGCTAAACGTCTACCAAATAAGGAATATTTTGTGGCATGTCTATGCGTAACAATTTTGATTTTCCTCTATTTCAAAGTGGCTAAAAATTTTAATTTATTTTTAAAAACTTAATAATGATATTATTTGCTATTTCCGGATTTTTATTCAATTATTGGCGATGAAAATGATGTGAACCTCCGCACATTTCATGAATTTAAGATTTTTTGTTTGGATGTCGCAATCACCATTTTGCTTCAAATTTTTGGCTCATTATTTGGTTTTTATTATATTTGGCTGATTGTTTATTATCCAATAACTAGGTTGGTTACTGTTCTGGTTAAAAAGTTAGAAGCAGTATTTTGATCTTTCTTACTTCTATTATTTTATATACCTATGATTTCGGTGAACAAATTTGCAACTACAATAAATGCGGTGTGAATATACCCAGAAATATTACGACTTCCTTAGTGAGGCATGAATTATTATTGTAGTTGAAAATTTAGCGTGAACATTAATATTAAAATTCCAGATACCTAGTAAGCACTAAAATCGACGTCGATTCTAATTATCAGTATTAATGAAGTTGGGTTTCAACTGAAGCTTGCCAGCTGTTGGCAACAAATTAAGCTTGGAAATGTGATGGAGTGAAGTAAACACCTCAGGTAAACAGGACCCTCGTCTGTAATAGTTACGATAACATGAAGCGTGGCGCCGTATGTTTGAGGAGCGAAGAAAAATTAGACGCATCAAGTAATCCTATGTTGATATTTCTGCGAATTCTTCTCTGTGGATCGGCTGAGTCATTACCACCGATTATTGTGTACCGTACACAAGCACGTAAATGTAAAAAAATATCTCGTATGAAATAAATGAAAATGAAGTTCGTATGAAGTTCTCAAATTAGACAATTTTTGAGTTTTCAGTGGTACGGAATTATTTTGTAATTTAGGTGGTGGAATTATTTTGTAATTTAGGTGGTGTTATAGGAGCCGCTCTAACAACGTTTCTAACACCGAACGATTATAAAAATTGGCTAAGTTGATTGAGTAAATCTTGAAATGTGTAGTGAAGTGGTCGTTGACGTGAGCTAACTTGTGTCTAGCTAGTAGCTAGTTAGGCTAACTTGTACAAATATTTTCTTCTCGCTGGTTGTGTGCTTAGCAGGTGTTGGTTATACCGATTAATTGAAGCGAATAACTGCTACAGAACGGGAATAATGTAATTTTATCCAACTTGCATTTGATGTTTCTATTGCGTGAGAATTTCCAGTATAAAAAGCGTCTAATTGTTACTTCTGGCCAATATTTCTTGATCAATTTTATAAGGAAACTAGTAACATTTTTGTATGATATAAATTTTGTTACTGATGTGCCCAGTTCTCATGCTTAAGTCAACTCACTTTGAATGTTTTGATGTGTATCAAATCTTATTTTCATATTATAAACAGATTTCATCCTCTATATGCATGCCCGAAATGACAAGAACGTGATGTCGATAGAATTCTAACTTCCACCATGATTCCCGTCACTTGATTTCATTAGCATGCGCCAGTTGTATCCCTAAAATATTGACGTAAATGCATTGCCGTTACTGTAGTATACAATATGACATTATAAAAGTATTCACATTATCCGTTAGAGTAATTGTGATTGATATGAACTATGAATACGCCCATACTGATCAGTTGTAGTAAAGGCTTATGGCTGCTTGGGACAAATAGGAAATGTGTCGCTTATTACAATAACCACACCTTACACGACTGTCTCGTGTTCGTGACATGCTGCATCTGGCGTCGCAACCGATCGAACTCGACCTACCACTAACCAAGTATCCAAAACGCTGAAAATTTATAGTTCTAAAAAAACGCAATGATTGCAGATTCTGCGGTGTGAGTGTAACTCGCGCCAATTCTGTACATGAAGTTCGTTTTTTTTCTGTATGGAACGTTGATCTAGATAATGACGTGATGAATAAAATAATCTACGGATACATTTTCATTCACAAGCTGTAGTGGAAATGATTGCGGCTTTCTTCCTTCTCTATTTATACTTGATTATCTTCATTAAAACCTGGCAAGACCTGAGATTCCATCAGTGACAACACGGTGGGTATAGAAGCAACTTAAGGTTGCTGAATTGAAATGCAACGTATCAAGTGTTAGCTTTTATTACACGTTTTCAGTAAAATTTTCCACGACAGCGCGGATGTTAGAGACCGAAAGCGACGACGTGGCCAAAAGCGCCTCAATTAACAGGAATGTCGAGAGAAAAGGTTAGGCGAACATAGCCGTATATGAATAGGATTAGTACAAAAAAATTCAAGAATTGCCAATTAAAAAAAGAAGCAGCGGTATTTGCTGAACCCCGACACAGAAAAATTAATAGTGCTCTAAAATTAAATAATTATATCGTCTAAATTTTATTTGGGTCTGAAGTGGTAACACAGAACGCAGAGGACATTTGAAACCATGTTAGTTACTTGTGACCAGAACACTATCCGCCATCTCAACGCTGCGCCGAAATCATGATGTCTGCGAGAGGCAATCACGGCGCTAAATAATCGAAGGCATTTGCAAGCAAAGGCTTCCTTGACCAACAAACAGCTACATAGGCATTGAAAAAATAGTAAGAAAATAATAAACATGATCCCAAGCCGAAGGTCACATAATCAAGAGCTGAAGTCAAGTTCGATACAAATATAAATAATAAAAACTACTAAGATAAGGACTCTACGACGGAAGAAAAGGCGCATCAATTTATTTGCGGCGCCCTATGGGTGTCGGCACCAGAAAGCTCACCACAAACAAGTTCTGATAACAAAATTGTGACAGCGTCCTCTTGCATTGGTGCGGACGAGTCGCTTAGGAAGAAAGCGCTAACATTACCCAAGAAACTCATCTTAATGACACAGCCAATTACGTGTTCATCAGCCGCGTGACAGCCTCGTGAATATGAGCACTCACTGAAATACCTACGCATGCATGAATTTACACATCATTACCCATACATTGAACAGCGTAAACAAAAAGCAAGACAGTACACATTGTCAACTAGGTAATCTTTTCGCTGTAATAGAAGGAATTCAAAGAGCGCGTCCGGTACCATAACAGCGACTGACGAGGTACCGTCCATTAAAAGAAGTATCGGACTTATTCCTGGAGTTTTACTTATTTAAAAGCAATTGAAGATTCATAGGGACGACGACAACAGAAAAAATGTTGTCGAGGCTTCAATCGTCTGACCTGCCAGGCGTACCGAGATAACACTGTCTCTTGTTATGTTCTAGGAAATAATCTCGAATTTGCCGAGTGCTGGCAGTCCTTTTACTCATATCATAATCAATACATATGTCTTCAGGAATACGACCCTCATCATTTTCACGGAACAAATGCATCTACAAGAAAACATGGATGACACGAGGATAGATATCATCAGAAGGATAAGTACTGAGATATCTATGAGAGTTACGGATAATTATTATCGTAAAAGGCGTGATATATTGCAGTGTTATCCACTGGAACAAAAGACGTCGACTGTAACTCTACGCTACGTCATCACCTCAACATGAATATTCCAGTTAGCGACTACAACACCAATAGACCAACTGAAACAATAACAACAGCTTGCAGTGTACATAGAGCCTAGATAAATGCTACTTGCTCAAGACCTGTTCTCGAAATCGACAAAGTGCAATATAAAATGTTTACATGGAAAAAATATTGCGGGATGAGCCACCTCTAATTGCTAGAGTATCTTTAACTCAATCAAAGTAATGTACTTTTTCGCCGCTAGGTCACAAAGTTTCCTGTGAAGCTATGGGAGAAAAAACGAACGAGTGATTATCAAGTGCAAGTAGATCTTTCATTGATATCCGATAAATTTGAGCAACTCTTGGTTCGCAAAGACATTCAAGTTTGTAGAAGAGGTAACAATGGAATAAGGGGATTTTCAGGTGACAGCGATATCACGACCGAAAATTGTTTCATTTAAATATATATAGCTTGAATAGGTAAGGAATATGAAAGAAGAGACACTATAATTAAGATAATGGGGATAACCCACATCGTTCAGAGGAAAAACAAGGCCATTTGAATATATTTTAGAAAAGGTCCTCACAACATCACACCAACTAACTAGTGCGTTATGAATATAATCGGGAATAATTTTGATTTGCTTGTTACTGAAATATTTCATGATTTGCTAATCAATGCACGGCATTTAAGTGTGTCGTGATTTAGCGATCAAATCACACTGGCAATTCTTACCTCCGGACACAGAAGTGGAAAGAATTGTAATGTAGCCCATTGAAGTATGGAAGCGTATCCTTAAGTAAAGCAATTCTAGCATATACTACAGACATCCGATAATGATTATTAGTTGGAGAATTTTTAGCCAGCCAAATGAAAAGCAAAAAGACAAATTGAACCCAGAAAAAGTCAGATTATGATCACGAATCACAGATTATGGTCACGTGGCAGATTATGATCACGAATAAGAATGGGCCTGATATCCCTGTAAACGCACAACCAAAAATTCTAATATTATCGTACAAAGTCCTCCCATTTGTTAGGGAGTTCTGTTAATGTCAGACTCAGCATCAACATGCAAAAGAGACACCGCAGTCCCAGCAGATATGAGCTCAAGTGTCATTTGTATCCTGAACAGTTACAAGCAAGGAATCTTACGGATAGAATAGAGAGGAGTGAAAAATGTGGGGCTATAAGGAGTGACTAATACATAGAAAACTCGGTTTTCTTGCCAGGAGCGATTTTCACGAGTAAATACGTATAAACGGAGAGCGATATAATCACGAGGGATGTACAACTAGTTACCTTGAAGAAGGTTTTAAAAGGGAACTACGTATACTTAGAGGGAGGGAGTGGCTATTACTTAGCAAGTTTGTCTGCCCACCACGTAAGCACGTTAGAGTAGAAAGAATTGCTATTGCAGGTATGGTGGTGTTAAATAAAAGTACGGGGCAAAGTGGAGGTCAGGCGTCAGCGTAGTCACCTAATCAGTACTCTTCGTCTTCAGCGGGAGGGGGAATGTCTTCGTCTGGTGCGGCGAAGCCATCCTGCACACAACAAAATTTTTTTAATTTAACTATTACTAAGCAATCATTGAAAACCTGCTATGCGGGTGAATATAATCTCTTGTTGCAGCACTTCAATTGCAAAAATATACTGGATTTATTTCATAACGTTCGAGCAAAATTTGCAATGGAGATTTTCCTCTGAATCATCCTAGCTTATGCGGAGTCATTTTTAAACGAAACCTCACTAGTCCATAGTATTGATTACAGCCTACATCTTTCATTAGGAGTTTGAAACGAAGCTTCCAAAAAAGGGGGAAAAGTCTGGGGCTTCTGGCGTCTGTGTTCAAAGAATTTATTGATGAACCGTTCGACGAGTATAGGTACTTGAATTAGGCACATTTCTTCTCTTTGTATTTGATCGCAAAAAAAAATTCTTACCGGAAACAAGGGGATTAAGACAAAAAGTTAGAAGTACAAATCAAAGATAATTCTAGTTTTAAAAGAATCGAAAGACTTACCTCCGTCGCGTAAAGAATGTCGAGTATTTTTTGCACGGGTGCCACAGCTCCGTCCTCCTGTTCTTGGCAGAGCATTTCTATTTCCCGCAACTTGCCGAAATAGAAATCTCTTTCTTTCTCAAGACCTTGAACCGTTATTCTCATATCCATCATCTGCACAAAATTTTATTTTGTAAACTACGTTCATTGGAGGTAGGTAGAAAAATTCAAATTAATTCATTTTCGAATTCAGCAAATGGAGAGGAACTTGTCTTTGTCAGCGCATATGGGCTGACAGGTTACTCTGAAAAAATACCAGACTTTTATATAGAATGACGAAACTTGATTCGGAGTGGCAATAGAGGTATGCCAAGTGTTAACATTTTTTGTTCGTCCAAAGTTATGATAAATGCTGTAAACACTTATTTGATAAGCAATTTTAGCAGCAGAGTAATTTCTAGAGGAGTTGAAAATTGCTTCAATACTTGGTTCAGTTAAAATACATGAGTAAACATTAAGATAGCTAGACGATGTTGCTACTAATAAATAGATATTATACAAAATTTCACATGTTAGTATAGTCTTCCTTCACAAATATATCGGGCCTGGCGGAATTAGATACTAAGATGTGCCGCAGGAATTGAAAATGCCTTGATATTTTCACCAGTTAAAACTACGTACTTAAGAATACCTCTAGAAGCTACTAAAAAAATAAGAAACTTCATTAATATGACATAAATCATACCTGCTTACTAGCAGGAAGCGCAAGCAATGTTAAGTTAAACCTAGTGCAACTAGAGACCTGGTACTATGCTAACAAGCAGAACTAGAGACCTGGTTCTAGGCCAAAAAGAACTAGAGACCTGGTACTATGCTAACAAGCAGAACTAGAGACCTGGTACTATGCTAACAAGCAGAACTAGAGACCGGGTACTATGCTAACAAGCAGAACTAGAGATCTGGTACTAGGCTAACAAGCAGAATTAGAGACCTGATATTAGGCTAACAAGCAAAACTAGAGACCTGGTTGGTGAGCTCCTCAACTTGCTGGTTGGTGGCTGCGTTGTTGCGGGGAGAACTAACGCTCGTTTTGTTGCTCACGCCGATGCGAGACGCGGTGGGCGCGCGTCCTGAGAAGAAAAAAAAAAAGCATTATTTCTCGCGGCTGATCTTTAATATTCCTAGTGTTGGTGTGTGATAGGTTGAGATGAGTGGACGTGTTCTTTTCAGAAATGGGTTTGACTAAAGACATCATGAAGGTGAATAATCGGCAACAGTAGCATCACAAATGTCCATACAAACCAAATTTACATATTGATTGGTGAAGGAGAGATATACTTCAATATTATTCTCAAATATCTTCATATTCAAGGATTACGGTACCTTCACATATAAGAAACTTCTCAAAAGTTGAAAATCTGATTGCATATACAGGTAGTAAGCATGATTGTGAATATACAAAAATCTTGTTTAGAACATTTTTTTTGTCACATGATGCAAAATGGTGTTACAGGAACACTGGGAACCTCATTTCACATCATGTACCCACAAAGATTGTTCTAAACTAGAGATAATTTTATTCCCAATCATGACGTTTCATCAGGATTATTAGAATTAAGAGATAAAAAGGAAAATTTAAAAAATAAAGAAGTATCCCGTTAAATACCTACTGGATATAAACACGCAGCACATAGAAGCAAATGTGGAGACACAAGCTCGTGCAGCAATAGGCATTTGTTAGTCCAAGCTACTTTTTATACAATATAAAATACCACAAGACAACATGATCATTAACTGCCTGACTTCTGATACTTTAAGATGATTATCTACCAAGCTACCAAGATAATAGGATGATTACCAACCAAAATACTGAGACAATAGGATGGTTACCTACCAAACTATTGAGGCAATAGAGTAATTACCAACCATAATACGGAGACAATAGGATGGTTACCTACCAAACTATTGAGGCAATAGAGTAATTACCAACCATAATACGGAGACAATAGGATAGTTACCTGCAGCAGGTCGGGCAGCAGGCTTGACAGGTGCCACGGTGCGTCTGGGCATGGCAGAGGCCATGCCACCCCCACCTCCACGTCCCAAGCCTAGAGGCTCTCCTCCTCGCATGTCCAAGGCATCATAGTCGGATCCGTCGTAATTTGCATCAAAAAATTTCTTGAACCACTGGAAATAAATAGATAATATAAATGAATAAATTCTACCTAGCATACAAACTTGACATTATAAGGAACACATGTAGATGGTCAATTGTTTTAGATCTGAAATCCGGCACACATTGCGTCACAAGACCATTTTCATTTTTAATAGCAATTAATTTAAATTTAGAAAAGGACGATTAATTGTTCACCAGGTCCTGAAGTGGCATATATATAAACGACCTAAGGCACTGCAGCTGTGCAGCAGGACACAATAAAGGCTTGTAACTAAATGATCATCATTCAACCAACATTCTTATCAACATACCTGCAAAAATTCAAAATTGTCCTGGAATTTTCCTTTTATTAACTTGTCAACGGGAACAATCTGTAACAGGAGAGAAATCAGTAGTAAAAAGAATCCTGGTATCAACACAAAAAATTTTAAAGGTACAATTTTTCTGTATCCATTTAAATAAGTTTTTGAGGAACTATGAAATTTTCTTCATACAGCAAAAAAAAAAATTTATATATAACTCAGTACTCACTGCAGTGAGTGACAGAGAGCGCATTTTCTCATCGACGAAAACTTGAGGTCACGGACAGACAGGGCGAGCACAATAGTGCATTTTTTCCATAAATGAGAAAATGCGCTAAAAAATAACAAAAAATCCTATGCAAAACTTAAGTGATCTGATTTTTTACCATAACAGTGAAATTACTTGAGCTGATAGTGACATACAGTGCAATGTGGTGTTGATGCAAGGAGGGCCTTTACTGAGCAAATATAATGATCAGCATAAAACGTATAAAAATTTGCTGTACCAAAAAATAAGTATGAGTGAATAAAGTTGTTGATCAAATTCCACGGCAGTGCTTTTATCAAAGACTTTCCTTTGATTCTTTTCTCCTGAATATTCTGACAAAAAAAAAAATTTATGGATGTTAATAAGATTTCTTTGAATTTCATCAAGACATAATTGGGATTTATTACCTTGTCAACATTCATTTTCTTGAATGCTGCTTGCAAGAGTTTGTAGTTGTTGATGTATTCATGCTCCAAGTTTGTGTTGAACTTCACTTTCTTCAGTTGAATGGAACCTGAATGAAACCATTATTATTAAAACTCACACCTAAACTCAACATAAATTTGGTCCAAGTGCTGGTCATTGACCAGATCACAATGACACATGATTTAAAGACACATAATGTAAGCATCACGCGGTAAAAACACAAGTAGCTGAGCCCAGAAATTAACCACTTATATAACTCATGTGGGTCATTTGGTATTTTCTTTCTAATTTTTACTTTTAATAAAATTCCCTCGTTTGTTAATAAGAGAGAATTGAGAATTCTAAGCAGAAACAAATGAAAAAAAGTATTGTCACACTGCTCAGATGAAAAGTTGAAACACTTAACTTTCACTCACTAAATGCAAGAAGTAAATGGTTTAATTGAACAACTTGAAAAGTTTCAAACTCACCAGGGAACATCATATCCATAAACTGGCAATATGCAGACCCTGAACAGAGCTCTTCAACTTTGCTGAAACTAGCAGCAAGGCTGCTGTTTATCCATGACAACAGGTCATGTCTGCTCAGGTTATCTGCAGTAGAGCTAGTTGAAAAAACATTCACTGCCATTTCTAGAGGTAGAAGTATCTGGCAACAAATTCAACAAGATAAAAGATGATGGGATGTATTTTTAAGTAATTGGACTAATAGCTTTTCTTCTGGATGGAACATGCAATGCATAAATATTAATTTTGAATTCAAAAATTGTAAATGAATAGTTAACATTCAAAAATGAAAAAAAAAATTCAGCATAATTGTCAGGCCTGATTTAAGAAACAATAATATATGTTGGTATAGTTTGGCAGAAGCTTTTCTTTTATGCAAGTTTGATTGAAGACCAGAGCATGCTTTTAGTTAATAATCTTCTTATTCAATGAGTCTTAACAAAATTTCTAGCTGGTGCCGTATGATCAAAAAGCAGGTTACCAAATAACATTTTGATGGAATGCGATATTTCAAAAATACAATTTTCATTATCAAGCAGGTGAAGGTATTGCAATGCTTTAAATTGTTTTATTTTCATTTAACACTTGAAAATTTTTTTTTCATTATCTGTCATGCTCTTGATGTTATTAGGGATGATTCACTGTACGACTCATTCTTCCACTTTGTAGCCTCTGTTCATCTGGGTTTGGTAGAAGACCATTGTGATGGTTCCATAAAATATTGCTTTATTGTTGGTTCAGTTTTCTCTCAATCAGTAATTTGATATTTCAGTGTTAACTGTACTACCGTAAAATGGGGTTACTTTGACCACTTTTCGTTTTTTTAACAAAACTCCCAAAACTCAAAAAGTATTTGACATAGAAAAATTTTGTCAATGGCCATCAAAGGCCTATAGTCAGATGGGGTAAGACAGGACCGAAATCACTAACAAGCCTGTAGCATCTATACCATGAATAACTAAAAAACCTTAAACCTATCACAAGGTGTAGTTATGCAATAGGCTTCTAAGCTACAACTCAGATGTTTTGCATCTAACATAGTTTTCTGTACAGATTAAGGGGACCGTCTAACCTAAATTGGAGATAGCCTATAACTCCTAAAGTTATTATCCGATCATCATGAAACTTCACATTCAAACGTAAAATGTAAAAATAAAAACATTTTACTTCTATGAATTTTTCGAAAAAATTGATAGAAAACGTGATATTCATAGAAAACGGAAAAATAACGGTTAAAAGATAAAAATTTTGACCAAAATACTCCATGTACTACACAATAATATATTCATTTAAAAACTATTTTTAATAAACTGTAGGGTAATAGAGGACCATTTGTGGGGTAAGACAGAACCATTTGTGGGGTATGATAGGACCACTTGTGTGGTAAAACAGGATCATAAAGTGGTCCTGTCTTACCCCATGTCCGGTCCTTTTTTACCCCATTTTAGAATACATGTCAAGTAGTGATGGTAGCAGGTAGGAATGCCTAGTATGTCTAAAAAGTTGCCTACTACTTGAGGTTACCTGCCTACATCCACAAACCTGGCCAAAAAATTTTTTGTCATTAGACAGAGCTTATTTCCCAAACAGGGTTGACTATTTTGTGACCCTTCTTTACATAGGTTTTCTTTAAAAATTAACCAAAAATTCATTATTTGCAGAAGAGGGTTGAAACAAACACTGAAATGACAGGCAATGATTGCCCTAACATATTCTTTTGTCAAATTGAATTCAGTGCAATTAGAATGCATGCCATGGGCTGGTCCTTTCTTACCCCATGAAAGCTGCGATCCTGTCTTACCCCATTTGACTATAATGCTGAGGCTACGTAACACAATAGAAAGATTTTAAAAGTTTGCATATCTAATAGGTTAAAAAATTAATAATGTAACCCACAAAAAAGAGCTATGATTTAAAGCCTCTCGGAGTACCCCCTCCAATTTTTTCATTTTTTGGTAAAATAACTCCAGGTTTTGATGCATTGTAGTAGAACTCTTCTAGTTACATATGCAAAAGACAAATTTTAGGAAAGTGAAATAGTTTGCAAATGGGGGCGCTGCCCCCCAATGGGGGAACTTTGACCACCTAATGGCAGCCGTGACGGGCTAACATTGACCGGCTTGTAAATTAAGTTAAAATTACCATAGGTACCTATATAACATATTTTATGTTCGATACACCTATTAATGATTTTTTCTTTATGTTTCAGACTCTACAGAGTCTTACATATGGTAATTTTAACTTAATTTCCAAGCCGGTCATGGCAGTCAATGTTACCCCGTCACGGCTGCCATTAGGTGGTCACATTTTGCCCATTGGGGGGAGGTGCCCCAATTTGCAAACTATGACACTTCCCACAAATTTGTCATTTGCATAAGTAACTAGACAAGTTCTACTACAATGCACCAAAACCTGGAGTTATTTGAAGTTATTTTACCAAAAAATAAAATGGATTTTACCACTCAGTCAAAGAAACCCCAAGAGCTGGGGTAACAAAGACCATCACTTTTTTTGAAATTAGATCAAAACTATAAGAGGCAGGAGCCAGCAATTTATGGTGAGTAAAGCTAGAGTATAGACCTGTATTTTGCATGTTCCAATTCAAGTTCAACTTATATAGTAAAAAAATGGCATCATTTTAAAAAAAGTGGTCAAAGTTACCCCATTTTATGGTACTTAATTAGGCTTTTAATCAAGAGCTACTAAGCTTTTAATTACAAAAATTTTGATTTTAGCACACAGCTCAAAACGAGCTGTACGTGTCTAATTCCAAGCTGTGTCGGAATTAGTTTTCATATGTCTAAAACCATCTCTTAACTTAATCATCTATTAATTTATTTACTACTTGGAATCAGCAAATACAAGTATACTCGAAGTTGAAGGATTCCTAATATATTCACAGACTTATTTAAAAGTCTCAAACCATAATATTCTTTCTTTCTAGCCTACACAAACAGTTTATCACTATTTGGTAGAGCAAGGTCTACTATCAACTTTGACACATTTTTCAATGTTCTCACTGGGTGATGTGCACTGTCTCTCTTTGGATCTCAACATTTTCCCACCAGCGGCCCAGACCTAGTGTTTTGGCAATAGAAGGGTAAACGCGGTATATTCTGACACATTAAGGACGCATCGAGAAATGAAAAACTATAAAAAAAACGTATGTGTTACGTAAGTTCTGTTGCCTTCACGTGACTCTCAAAACACTTCCCTACACGTCAGCAACGATGAAACGTCACAAAATGTTGCCATATTTATTAAAAAGCCTTTAGAATGGAAACCTATCAAATCCCTATATTCCGTCACTGTGTGTGGCAATATTTGACACGTGGTGAGTCGTATTGCGTCAGCGCTTCAAATTTAACTGATACGTAATGCCGACATCCACGTATTCGAATTCCGTTCGCTGTGTAAGCTGTATTGGGATACAACACGGCTTTGAATTAGAACACTAACGAATATTGAACACTACTTAATTACGTTTTAATTAACAGCTATTAGGCTTTTAATTAAGCAAATTTCAATTTTTGTACAAAGCTTGGAACGATATGTGTGTGTCCAATTCAAGTTGTGACAGAATTAGTTTTGATGGATCTAAATCCATCACTCAACTTAATCATCTATTAATTTATTTACGACTTGAAATCAGCGAATACAAGTTTACTTAAAGGATTCCTAATATATTCACAGACGTACAGCGATCCCTTGATTAACGCGGTAAATAAATCCCCGAGTTTTACCGTGTTAAGCAAAACCGCGCTAATCAAACTTAAGAATATATGGGAATAATTATAATGAATCCTCAAAAATAGCAAAGGAAAGGAAAATTATGTAGTTTAGCATGGAACTAAAACAAAGCTTAATATAAAGGAAAAACTAGAGAAGTGACGGAATTACCTACGATGTCGGAATATACCGCGTTTACCCTATGGCACATGCCACATAGTAGTGACCATGGTGCAATTACATATCAATTTTAAATTACCTTAGTAATTTGAGTTTTGTGAACGCCGACCTTAAATTAGAGGAGCGCCTTGCAGCCTCCGGCAGACAACCTCCCACGCTGACAGTCTAGATAACACTGCCTGCGGCAGTGCAGCTGCCAGCTGCGCAATGAAGATTGCGCTCTAGCAATACGAAATAGTCTTGGAGTGGAAACACAGTCTTCAGAATGTGAAATGACTCTAATCTTCAAGATCATTTATAAATTAATAAAAGCAACATTCTTCCTTAAACAGACACTGGTATGCACAGAAAAACTTTCGCTAATAATAATTATGACCTCAGTTACACGTTTTTCTTCGTAAAACATACCGCTTTTTGCTTTTAATTTGTAAATGTTTTGTTGACAGGTACAATGGCGAGCTGTATTGCACTTCACGATTGTTTATACAAGTTTTAAACTGAAATACTCAGTAAAATTAGAAAATACTTGTATAAAAGCCGATGTCTATTATTAAAATTCATAAAAATTATTTAAACATTACCCATGGCACGTTTCAAATTATAAAAATAGAAAAAGCCACTCTAATGACACTTCACTGGTAGAAGATTATTGACACCACTCAAAGTAAATAAAAGGATCAGGATGCAACTCGACAATCGAGTTCTCTTAAAAAAAATTGGAAACAATTTTTCATGTGAGAATTACATTGTTCCATTACATTTTTAAATAATCTCCTTAGATTTTTTATTTAATGATAGTAATTAATCAATGACTACTTCCCAATACTTATTTAGATGTCAATAAATAGCTTTGTTTTAATTGGCTTCTAATCTGTAAGGGAGCTGAAAATTAACTTTCAATGAGCTAAATGAAATCAAACGATGAAAAAATTATGACAACGCACAAAAAATGATAACATCAATCTATAATTTAGTTGTTAATTATCTCCTTGTTGTATTAATTTGGCAAACTCGTGCGTGCGCAGATGGTAAAAAGTGGCCATAATTTGCTAAATAATATCAAAGGGAACTACTTCGAAGTTTGAATAATATCAAAAAAAAACTACCCTTCATTTTATTAGGTCAAGATTGGTTTCAATTTAAAAAAAGTATACGTGGAACATTTTCAGTGGAAATTTGTCTCAGAACTGTCGATTCGATTCGGTCTACTAAAATTTACCAGAATTTCCATTGCCTTTCGAAGTTCTTCAAACAAACCTTAAGTCAAGGGTATAATTGTTGTGATAAAATTATTAAACGAGAGAATTATGAACAAATAAAAATTAGGAAGGAAAAAAACACTTGAATTGCTTAACGAGTTTTTAATTTAAATAGCAATGAGTTGTTGCCATGACTAGCCTATTTAGATTGATTGACACATTATTTTGTTGCAGAATGGCAGCCGATAATCAATATACATAGGAGATAAAATGTATGTTTTGAAAGCGAAAATATTAATGTAAATTTAAGGCTTTCAACCCTTTTAACGCGTGCAAAATTCTTTTAAGTGTTGTCTACCTTATTGTCCTTTGTTTATAGTCCATTACATCTATAGTCCACAACTGGCGCGTAATTAATTCACGTAAATTGTAACAGTTTTGAAGTGCGTTGACTGCTAGGTGCTGTTCTTACTCCGATCTCCAGTTTCTCCTCAAGTGGATTAATGATAAGTGATAACTGACTAAGCTAGTCATCATTTTATGAGCATAGAACTTTACTAACTTAGTAAGTAATATTTATTCGTGAATCGTGATCATTCCTGATAAGTTGCATCCAGTAATCTACTTTCATATCTCCTGTAAATGGCTCCATCGCGTAAGTCTTGTAGCAGTTCTCCCTTTCTTGGCTATAACTGTTGACTGATTTATGCTTTCAGTGCACCATTCTGAAAAAAATTAGATTAGGATCAGTTTGTTAATGAAAAAACTAGAAACCTAGTGGGAAGCAAAAAACCTAGATCTAGGTTTTTTTCTGCTTCGGAGCGCCACAGTGCCTGCGGAGTGCCTGCTGGAGTGCTGGGGCTAAATGCCCAAGGATTTGCTAAAAAACCACCATGGTAGTGACAAACCTCGGATTTCTTAGAATCAGTTCATTTTTAATTTCCTCATTTAGCTACTCATGATCATAGTGGCAAAGCAGAGAGTTTTTTAGACTCTCCCTCAAGTTCATTTTTGATTCCTATAAGTAGACCAGTAAAGTATCCTGGATACCAGCATTATCATACATAAAAAATTGGCTTAAATCTTGAGCAACTGAGGAAATTAAAAATGAACTGATTCTAAAAAAGCTCTGGTTTGCCACTATGCTCATGATTTAAACCAATTTTCTTATGTATGACAATGCAGGTATCCAGGATAATTTACTGGTCTACATATAGGACTCAAAAATGAACTTGAGGGAGTCTTAAAAAACTCTCTGCTTTGCCACTATGGCCGCCCTATGAGTATGGCGCACAAAAGTATGACATCACTAGGTAGGTATGTCACTATTTCATCCATCAACAAATGCATGGAACTAAGACAAATCTTAATGCAAAGGAAAATTTGAGAAGTGTCAGAATTACCCACGATGTCAGAATGACAGAATATACCACATTTACCCTATCATTGGTCATTCGGCGTCGGCCTATGTAGCTATTTAGCATTTTAGCTAGCTACTCACCTTAGCCGTCTAGCAGAAGAATGAACTTTTTTTAGAATAAAATATGCAATTCAAATTATGCTACTGAGAATAAAATATAAAAACAGCAAAATTAGTGAATCCAAAAGTTGAACCCTCTCAACAGGACAACAATCACAACAAACAAGACATGTTTCAGTTCAAAAATACTGATATCAGTGATATGCCTATGGCCCGGTATGGGGCTCACTATGGGCCATGGGGAAAACCATATTTCACGTTTACTCTAGAAAAAATTGTTTACAACCTCATGGTTCCCTTAAATACTTATAAAAATAAATTAAGTTTATCTTGTGGAGGCTTATGCACAAATATGAATACCTTTGTCAGTAGAAATCGGACCATCGGCGCACACCCACTGCACAAATGAACGCGAAGCCGAATGTGTAATTTTTGTGACTCCACAAGGTGACTCAGTCAAACTTTTTTTGTTAATTATAAAAAATATTATTTAAAGGAATACAGTTACTTCATCCATCGTCAATAAATAATAAATATTTTAAAAAAATACTTCTCGTTTTTTTTGCCGGTTGACCGATGATAACTACAGCAAGAAAATGCATGCGTTCAGTTAGCAAAGAGATTAAAATAAATGTATTCCTATTCCACCGACAATACTGGCTTATTTTACTCACACAGAGGTGGGACAGTTTTCAAATACATCATCTCAATCCACCTTCTGCCTTAGTGTATCATCAATTGATTTCAGTGTATCAACGCATCATCAGCAGTCCATTCAGGAGACGCTAATATAAACTCGTTGGATAAGAAGATCTGAATGTCCCCTAGCATCTCATAATTCAGCAAGAAAGGCTTCTATTTCAAATGGGTCTTACCCCTACATTGAACGGCAGCTAAAATGGGTTGTTTCAGAAAAGTAGCGATGCACAAAAAATTCTATGATGTTAAGCGACTTTAGTCGTTATACACTCGTAATTTCAATTTAGTCTCTCTAAAAGGTTGCAACTGAAGCAACATATCACCAATAATACCATTATCCTCTTTTCTTCAAGCTGGGCATCAGCATTTTAGCGTTCACACTATCAACTTGGCATCGTTCAATTTCCATCCGCTTTAAGCTATCTTTGCGACAGTGCAGTCGAATCAAGATCAAATTTGTTACTGTCATAGGAAAGGAGGAGCGTAGATATACTCACTGGTTGAAGTATGAAAATCAATGTCAAGGAATCACAGCGGCTAGTTGAACCACGGCCAAAAGAATTTAAGATTTACTATTTTAATGTACGATTGGGTCTTAGTGACCAAGTCCCTCAAACGAAAACACCCGCGACCCATCAACTGAAAATGTCGTGTGCCCGAATTCATGAGAATCAATCCAGCCATAATGCCTTTGTTGTGATCATGCTAGTTACCCAGGAATAAACATAGATACCTGAGCAATTCATCACATTTCAACTCGTAGCGACAGTATTTAAATATGGAATAGTAGTTCCTATTAGTAAACTATAGAAAGGTCAACTAGGTAACTGAAGTTTTGAAATTACTTAGCCCAATTTTATACTTCGTGCTCGCACGAGAACATCAACAACGCATTTAGTTTGTTAAGGATTTGAATTGTGCATCTATCATCTTGGTTTAGGTTTCGGACTTCTGGAGTCATTGCAGTTGCTGCATTACCAGGAGTTCAACACGTAATCTTGCGAACAAAAAATGAATTAAATTGTTAAGTTTTTATTAGCAACCACCTAAAGCGATAAACTTGATAATAAAAGTATGCGTTGAGTCTCAGACTAACATTTAAACTTCAGTGGACAACTGAAGATCGTTTCCAAAGACCCAGTTTCAAGAAGGTGTTAAAATCCACCTTTAAGTGCATTTGCCAAACATCCTGATCTTATGCATACGCATGATTCCACAAAACGTCGGAATAAAAAACAAATGATTGAATATAGTTTTTTAGAAATTTCAAGTTTCTCTAATGCAAACACAAGACTTAGTTTCACAAAATAAAATCTTCTGTACTTGATGTAAGTTATTTGACTGCAAAAAGGCTGACTTGCAAAGTACTTATAGCTCGTTTTATTTAGAATACACGGACATCATGATCGAAACTAACTAATGTTGTAAATGTCTGTGCAATTAATAATTATTAATACAAGGACATCAGTCAACCACATTCGTGTAACACGCAATTGACATGGCCGGCAGGTTTCTCAAAAACCCAATAGCAACATTCAAATTTTAGTGATAATATCGAACTTTTGTAAGTACTCGCAATGAAATGACATTCTAAAAAATAGGTCTTGAAAACAATTCTCTAGTTTCCCACTGAAAGGGATATAAAGAATGAGCGAGCGAGATATTTAGGCAGGTTCGCCGTCAGCAACAATGTTCTTCATGTCTTTAATGCCGTCTTTGTTGACACAGCGCACGCGGAACTTGGGCAGGTTGGCCAGGAACCTGCGCTTGATTTCAGCCGTGCACTTCACCAGCAGACCGTATGCCTCCTCCTCTGACATATCTGCGTGATGATATACACAATTTAGTTTCAGGATAGAGGTGAAAAAAATTACCTGGTATATATTATTATTCATGTTTATAAGTTAAAAAAATGTATGGGAAAAATTATTGCAGGGTCTGAAAACCGAAATAAACTCTTAAATTATTCCATCTTATTTCACACTTATTGGTTAAACATATTTCATCAGCATCTGATTAATGACTACAGTATGTTTGAGTTGCAACGCTAGAGTGCTCATTTAACGTGCAAGTACCGGTACGTAGACACAAAAGACGCACACACACTTAGTGCAGAATTATTAGATTTGTTATAAGAATTTGACAATAAAATGAAGAAGCCTATGATGTTTATTTCTCCTGTTTAAAAATATTAGATTGAACAAGAAGGTTTATGTTTACCAGTAGGAGTAATAAAAAGAAAAAAATCCACATGAAGAGCTCTATTCTAGCATCCTAGGTAATGAATGTATGAAGCACCATGTATAAAACTGGAAAAATAAAAGTTGGTGATACATAATCAACTTCTGAGTAGCCAAAGCAAAATTAAGATCAAGATACCTGTGTGCCAATACAGAAAATAATCAACGCACAAAATAAAGAGTAAAACACAGAGATTTTGAACATGACAATGGGTATTATGAATAAAACATACATTGTAAATATTGAGGAGAGTCTTCAGTGAAAGTTAACAGAATATATATTTATTCACTTACTCTGAAAACATATGTATTTAATTCAATTCAACAAATGAAATGTTAATTGCAAAAAAATTACCTTGTTCATCTTATACATAAATTCAAATTAGAACTTTGAAGATAGTGCAATGAGAACAACGTATGTTTACACAATTGCAAAAGGCTTGATTACTCACCAGGTCTGTATTCTCTGTCCATAACAGATAGAGTGAACCAGCCACCATAACCAAAGGCATAATAGTTGACTGGGATGGAAGCAGCCAAGTAGTCCATGTAGTATAGCTCCGCAGTCTGCTGGTCAGGATCATAGCCCCCCAGTAGCAAGTTCACCATGTATGGCTCCTGTTGAGATGGAGCCTTGCATTATTATTGTAGTAGTGACAGCATAACCTTGCACTGCACTGCCACCATGTGTGCTTGTTGTTAAATGAAAAAAAAAAACAGATGTCAATTAACATGAAGAAATAAAGTGACACAATGTGTAAACATTCCCATAATTTCCAAACATCAGGGCCTGGATCATTAAAATGTTTGGTAGTTTTTATGACTGGATATAGTACCCATTACTTGATAACTTGGTCGACTTGTGACTCAGTTAGGAATGATTTTTTTATATTTATAACAGATAATCCATAGCCAAGAGCCATAAATGAATCCATAACAGATGCTGGCTCTTGCTATGGTCCCTATGGATTCATTTATATATACTTCAAACTATATCTTCATAACATTATATGTCCAATCAAGAACAAAGAATTAATAACCTATTGAACAAAATCAATTTCTCAATGGAACAATTCATCTCAGAATGTAGGTACCTTGTACTGACCTTATATTCTACCTAAATGAACGATTTATTGGTCAATATTACTGGAATATCATTGAGAACAGACCCAAATTAGCTCACTATCACAAAAATGACAGAATAACAACATTGCTTCAAGAAAACTTAAACAGGCTTAAATACAGCTAATCTCATACTGACTCTGGAGCGCAAGTGTGTGGCCAGCGTGTTGCGTGTGAAGTGCACAGCCGCAGAGGGAGGAAGCTCGTAACCATTTCTCATCTTGTAAAGCTGTACATTCTTCTCAATGTATTCACTGAACTGGGTGGTATCACCACTCTCTCCACTCACAGCCATCAGGAGGTGGGATGACAATTTCTGCATCTTGTCAGCATCTGGCCATAAAAATACATGTACATGTAAAAAATTAATGTAATACACTGATATATATAATTGAGCACAAAAAAGGTCATACACAATTATATTGCAACAAAAATGAATTCTTAGAATAAGAAATAAACAATCTTCAACGTAGAAGTTTCTTTTTTCCCTCTTTGGGCGTTTCTATCCCAAAAGCACGGAAAAAATCCTAGTATCACCAATGTGATGATTGTCATCACCAATTAGAACATTGGCACATTGCCACAACTGGAAGTGATGAGGCAGTTATATAAATATATACACGTTTCAAACAATATAATTTTTGTAAACGGAATAACAACAAATTCCCTACAAATTCTACACACCGCCTTTGTGGACCATGATGCTCTGCAGGCATGACATGTCAGTCGCCATGATAACAAAATCCTTGAACTTTATTCCTGAAAAAGAGATAAATAAATTTAGTAACAACATCCAAATGTTACAAATTTGGCTTCATGTATATCTATAATCAAAATTCATGTAAATTTTGACAAAATAACAAGAAAGACACAATTTTAAAACAATTTTTTAGAAGCACAAAATTTTTGTATACTTTTTAATAGAATAATTGATATTTAATATTCTTGGAATAATAAAATTTTTTGATGTATTAAATTATTGTAAAAGATTTGATGCATAATATCTACTATTATCTAGTCATATTTATAATCTTTTAAATTTCTGCTCAACCATTTTTTAACCTACCTAATACTTGGATTCAATGCGCTATGCATTGAAATGATTGAATCCAAGGTGACACCTATCATCCTATGCTCAAGCAGCTCAAGGTGTCAGTTTCAAGTACTAGGAGAGTTTAATTCCTCTATTAACTAAATAAGTAAAAACTTTCTGATCTTGCACAGTTGCACTTGCAGTGCCAATAGTACCTAGTAGCCTCCTGAGGAGGCCCTCCTGCAGCAGTCTCCAGCAGAGCAAGTGACTTAGCAAGTTAGCCTAGCAGAAATAGGCCTAGGCTACTCAATCTATTTTCAATGCATTAAGCATTATGCAATAACTGATCATCCATTCCTGTAAAATAATTCCACACAAATAGCAATGCTTTAAATGCTATTCAATAGGCTATTGTAATAAAAGTTATCCTGAAGTTTTGAACAATTGACAAAATGCACCAAAGCCAAAGGAGGTGAAGCTCAATCCATTTACATTACACTGATTACACATTGAATTAATTAATCACATTGAATAGCCTAATTCACTTACCAATTAAGCATTCCAAACTCATTTTGTAGAAGGGTGGTTTTCAACTTCACCAGCGAGCGTTGATTTGTGAATCTTCGTTTACGGCGTTGAATGCCTCTCCGTTTAAGTTTGTAGTGATTTAACTTTTTTACGGCGGTAAATAATGAGCGATTTTTCGAGTGTCACCGGCTACCGTTCAAACTGGTTTTGTGCACCAGACTGCACCTCTATGATTGTTAAAAAATTCTATGCTCCGACAACTCAAGAATTTGATGTGATTCATATTTTAATTAGCATCAATATCTTCCAATCTCAAAATTGTTGTATCGTTTTCAAATTCGTAGCATAAAATATCATGGTACTGTTAAATGCGTTCAATGATCAAGAGCAATATCATATAAAAAAGTGAGTTCCAGTAGTTAGAAGCATGGTTGAATTAATACAAGGTTGACCCACGCGCAGCTGCTCTTTGCGGATGTCGTTTATTGTTCCGACTGTGACGTCACCGTGGGCCCAAAATGTAAATACTGTCGCGAAAGACGTTGTTTTTGTGCCGATTTTGAGCTCAATTTAAAAAAAATTGCCCTCCTTAAAATCGTTATAAAAATCCCAGTAGCTTCAGCTAGTCTGTCTCTAAGTATATAGGGCTTATTGAGCAATTCGGTCGTGTAAAACAAATAAATTCGAAACAAACAAACAGGGCCAACTTGCTGAGAGGCCGTAATCGGCAAGGAGTTCCTGTCCGATCATTCAGAAGATGACCATAAAAAATGAAGCTCTCTCCTCAACGAATCCCGCTTATATCAAGTGAGTTGATGTCTAATTATCTCTGATTAATTATGTCAGTTTTAGAGGTCAATTTTTTTTAATATCATTTCAAATATGGCACAAAAACAACGTGTTGATCTCCACTGTTTACATTTTTGGCCCACGTTGACGTCACACGAGACATGCGCAGAACGGCGAAAAAATCGTCGTCGCCGTGGGTCAACCTTGTATTAATTCAACCATGGTTAGAAGAATTATATATTTCCCATTATTTTATTTCTAAATTTAAATTTAATGCTAACGAAGCTAATTCAAAAAGGACTTCGGTTTACGGGCACAAAAGTGTCCAGTTCCTCGACACGCCTCTTCGGATCCAGCATAAACTATGTATTACAGATAATGAATATATTTTGTTATGTTAGAGTGCATCAACAAATGCCAAATTATTTGAAATATTTTTATAATATGAAAAGATTTACTTATCAATATCCATAATTTCAACTGGAACTCGGCTATTGAACGGTGAAGACTCGTACCTACATTGCTGCATTGCATTGCGTCATTGCCAGTAGCCACTGTCCAGTGGTAACTGTCTTATGTAGAATGATGAGCATCGTATCTCAAGAATGATGAATCAAGAATGATGAAACGGATAATGTAAGAAAGTCTTTATATTAATTTATAGTCTAAAATTTATCTTATAACTAACTACTGCTATCCTCATAATAAGACGCACGTTACCATATTTGCCAAGCTCGACAGACTCAGGATTTGGTCATTACAAATGTGCAATTGGACGGCGAATGCGCAATGCGTTCTCGTTTAATTACGTGATCGCTAATGTCATTGGCGGAAACTATAATTGACGACCTGCTATTTTAAAGCTCGTTAACTCCATCCTAGACCGCATTGCAAATTCAGAAATAAAGAAAAATTTTTCGACGCATCAACCTTGAATTAGGCTTGACCTTGGATCTGATAGTTCACGGCTTCCGAACGTTATCACGTTTTTTCTCCGAAAGTTCCTGGGGTTTTGTTATAGTTCATGCAAAGCTGGTGGTGATAAATTTTTTAAGGATTCTTCAAAACCAACGAAATGGCCTAGTTCAACTTTTTGTGAGCACGAACAACGACCAATGTTCTTATATGGAATTGGAAGCGACTGGAATTAAAAAGTTACCTTCATTCTGAATCGCATATAATTAAGAGTAAATAGAAGTTTTCATATACAACGGTCATGATATGCAGAAATAATGAGCCTCTCAGCCGTCTCCGCTGTTGCCATGGACGAATTATATCACCACGGCGCTGAATCCTTTGCGACGCCCACCAAACCAAGGTTCAGGCCGGGGCTGCTTGAGCGGCACTCCAGTCGCCTCTCATCCGTGCACCGGAGAGGACTAGGACGTGAGCTTTTCGTCGTGGTGTGAGCTTGAGGGAAGACATGCTCTCAACTGAAGAGCTTCACGTCCTTGATGTTTTTGTCTCGGATTTTTTCTTATAAAAATGAGTCGCTCGGTTGGTTTATAGAAGGGCGAAAATTAAACATTGCATACGATGGACCAAATACTCTCCCAGTGAGTACTTAGTAGTGAAGTGACAGCGTAATATTTTGAGCAATATATGTTAAAATATCAATTATATCATGTATAAAAAGTTGAAGCCCCCTCCACTATATTTATTCGTTCTTCCAACTTTTTTCTTCCCATAACCAATTTATTGAGTGCATCCCACGTCGATATGATCATCTGCAAAAATCGAAGTGAATCGTAATTTTTCATAGAAGTTTTAATAAAATAATAGCGGTTTTAACGTTTATTAGGCCATAGGCCTGTCGCCGATTATTAACATTGCAGAATGTTTACAGCTTGTCGAGGTCTCGCACTCACTGCTCCAATTTTGCATTGCTTAACCGCCAGCCGGTCTCGCCGATTCTGACAACTGGCGCACAGAGCTAGCATAGAACCCGCGCCTCTCAGCTCCAATCTCGGTACTCTGAACTGTAACCACTGCGCCACCCTGAAGTTTTCTGCTCAATTTCTTCGGGTAAGGTTAAATCCGCCAATCATAATAAAAACAGAAATATTTTCATTTATGCTTGACGTAAAAAATAGGGAGTAAATCCAACTGCTGTAAACCTAGCCATGAAAGCTATATTTCAACCTAAAGTTATCATTAACGCTTCTAAAACTAAATGTTTTACATAAACGGAGAGTACTGATAATTTACGCGAATTCCTGTTCAGCTTTTTAAATTAAACATTTAATTTTCAAGTTATAATATACTTCAAAAGTTTGAGCTTGGTCCACACCTGATCCTGCAGGACAGCTTTTTCTCTCAAAAGTGACAGTTTTTGAGCACCTTATGTCTCACTATCAGCCTGGGAGTGACGATTGTAGAATAATCTTAATGTCACAGCTCATTTTCAATGGTGACTAATACGGCGTGTTGCATAGTCAAAAGAGCTTCGTTTCCGACTGCGTTCATTCACTAAATTGCCAATGCCAGAACTTGACTATTTTCTAAAAAAATTAGTCTACCACTCGCTGAGGATCAAGTGTTCAATATAGATCTTCCAGAGCAAGAGGATATGAATTGTTTGAAAAATGGAAGTCATAGTACCATATTAAAGCATACAGTAAAAATGGCCTATATGATGTATGTATGTTGGAGCGCCAACATAGTTGACACTCAAAGTATGAAGGCGTTCAAGAACAGACTAGATAAAGCTATGGGAAAATATATGTTCAGATTTGAAATGCCTAGCACCATATCGAACCCGGTGGAAGTCGAGTAGCTATTTTTAAACTATCGTCAATCATGATAAGATCCGGTCAAATGACACAATTTTAGATCTTCTGTGAACAAGGCACGAAAAGGAAAAGAATCGGCGACAGGCCACATCATGCCTACACTTCGGCGCCGAGATCAATATGTTATGTTATGTTATCTGTAACTTAGTTGACCGTCATGCATTTCGACATTCACCAACTACACGAGCGATTGAATCAGACAAATCTACACAAATTAGATCAGACATATACTCAATTCATCGAGCTGAGTATATGTCTGATCTAATTTGTCTCCGCAGGGTTTGTGGCTTGTCCAATTCTATTGCTCGAAAGCCAAGTGTGTCCATCCTCTCAGTTAAATTATTGATGCCGGTTTCAATTTGACCAAACAATAATCCTTCCAAATTTTGCTCTGCATACACAATAATCGATCGCTACATCGCGCTTCACCTACGGCTTCACTACGAGTCAATGCGGGTTTTCAAGAAATATTAAAGAAGAAAATCATTCGCGCATCTTCGCTTATTCGCGGGTTTCTGAGGAAGTCGATCGGCTGATTTAATTAAACTGCCCGCTCAACTCGACCGTCAGTAAGAGTAAAATAAACAATATAAATAATCAATATAAGTTGATAAGTTCCCCAACACGGATTTCACCTGGAGTGACAGAGGTCTAGAACGTAATACCCGCGATAGTTTAGGGATTATCGCGGTCTCTTTCCACCGCTGATTGTTCAAATTCAGTAAATGCAGCGAGAATATTGCCCATGCACTAGCAGCAAGCACGGATTACCCTCACAAATAAACTCCCACGAAGAAATTTCACGATGAAGCCGATTTATTGGACTTGCATGAAATCGGCTATAGCAATACGTCTGTTGTACGTAACTATCGATTGATCGAATCGACAGTTCACTACACAAGGATGATGGAGTGAATATCTGTAATACTGGACATGTATTGGCATTTTTTTCCAAACCCAGGAATTGGAGGTTATGACTTCACAATGCGAGTATGCTAACAGAGAAAATACAGAATATTTATCAGTGAACAATTCAGGCTATCGGGAAAACGATATTCGAGCCGAGTTTAATTTGGATAGTCGAGTAGTTAAGTCTTAAACTATTCTTGCCAGTTATGGTACATTTTGACCACTATGGCTATGGTATACATGAAAATAGTCTTTATAGAATTGACACAAATTATCGTATGAATTCATGTTTGCCTGCAAAGATTGATCATCAGTCAACGATGGGCAAATAAAAAATTTCTATTTAGCCTTGGACTGGAAAAAAATCTTGGATGCCTGGAATTACGTCGACCTCGACCACCCAAATTAGTTCTGGTAATTGGTCCGATCGTAATCGATTTCGTTCCCTACTCACTCATTAAAAACTCGTCAAATTACTATCGAACTCCTAACTAGAGCCAAACTCACTTACAAACGAGCTTAGTTTAATCGCCACTATTAGCATGGAGCGCCATTTTTAACTCACGCATAAACTGCTTTGTAATCTTTTCTGAAAGCCAAAACTGGTAATGGGAAAAGTCCTTCAACCCCCGTGCGTTTATCATTAAACTCTCGTAGCGTGGAACGACCAAATTACGACTGTTTTTTCCTTCAAAAATGATGCGGGCTTGAGCTGTATAATCGTGTGG